GGCATAAGTGACTGCCTGGAAGCACAAGTTCCTCAGTTCAATTCCCAGAAAAAAAAAAAAAAAAAAAATACAGAGAGTTAATGAATCAAAGAATTAGTTCTTTGAAAAATTAAATAAAGTAGACAAATTTTTAGCCAACTTTGTTGGAGACCACTACAAAGTGGCTCTGAGCTGTATTTAATATTAATCAATTGGCTTTCTGTGTTGACTTGTGAGTTGTCTAAAGTGTAGGCACCTTGTCTGAAGATAAGCAGTGGACTCATAGTAAGTAAACCTCTGTGAGTCCCTGATCACCCTGAGACCTGTATAGGCCTGTGAAGCTGTAACACCTCAAAAGCAAAGATAAGGCCACCGGTGAGGATGTTTGGCTCCAACCCCAATTAACTACCAGGAGACTGCAGATGCAGGCTCCACACTCCTACAATAAACACCAACCTAAAAATAAGGTAGTTCTCCTGATTGACATAATTTACTACTTGGGAAAATTCTCCCAAGGTCCTGTGAGATTCCTGCATTTTCTTGAGTATCCTCTTCTTTTGTTTGAAAACCAACTAAATACAGGCCTCCCAGAGAAGTCTTTGTCTAAGTTCAGAAAATATTGAAACTGTAAGAGAGTTAGTCCCTCCTGGAGCCCTGAAATCATTTTAATTGTCTCATTTATTTAAGCCTTCAGCAACCACTTGCTTGGGAGATTGTGGGCCTGATCAGCCCGCAATAGCTAAGGGTTGTTTAACCCGATAAACCTTACCAACATAAGGAAATAAAAGACCGAAATCCATACAATTAGAAAGGAAAAAGGGGAAATCTAATGGATTCTGCCAAAACACAGATCCAGTAACTACTTTGAGAACCTGTACTCTAATAAAACGGAAAATTCAAAAGAAATGGGTAAATTCCTAAATATATATGAAGCACCAGTGCTGAACCAAGAAGATTCAAGTAAAAATCCTTACTAATCCAAAATTAGTCAATGAAATTGAAGAATTTTAAAAACTACCAAATAAGAAAGTCCTAGTTCCTGACAGATTCACTGTCAAATTCTACAAGAACTTTGCAGAAGATCAATACTCCTCAGACATTTTAATGAAAGAGAAATGGAAGCAATATTCCCCCAAAGCATTCTTTATTCTGATTCCAAAACCAGAAAAGGACTCAAACAAAAAAGAGAACTACAGGACAATCTCTTTAATGAACATAGATGCAAAAATCCTCAATAAGATACTGGTAAATAGAATGTAGCAAATCATCAAAAAGATCACACACCATGGCCAAGCAGGAATCATCCAAGCAATGTAGGGATGGTTCAATATACACAAATCAATAAATGTAATTCACCACGTGAACAGAAATAAGGACAAAAATCACATGATCACCTCAATAGATGCAATAATAAAACATTTGACAAAATTAAACATCAGGGCTGGGGATTTAGCTTAGCAGCATAGTGCCTGCCTGGCAAGCACAAGGTCGTGAGTTCGATTCCCAGTACTGGAAACAAACAAACAAAAAAAAAAAAATTAAACATCAATCCATACTTTAAAAAAACACTGAAGAAAATAGGTATAGAAGGTCATTATCTCAATCTAGTAAAAGTCATCAATGACAAACTAACATCCAACATCATACTAAATGGAAAGAAGCTGAAAGCTTTCCCTTTAAAATCAGGAACAGGACAAGCATATCCACTATCACCATTCTGGCTCAATATAGTCCTAGAAACATTAGCCAGAGCAATCAGCCAAGAAAAAGAAATAAAAAGGATATGAACAGGAAAGGACAAATCTAAGTATCATTATTTGCAGATGACATGACTTCTGTACACAAAAACCCCCAGAAACTCCACCAAAAAACTTCTAAAATGAATAACCAAGTTCAGAAGCATAGCAGGATACAAAGTCAACACTCAATATCAATAGCATTTTTGCTCACCAATAAAGGCTAACCAAGAGAGAAATTGGTAAAACAATCTTTCACAATGGCATTTAAAAAAACAAATACTTAGGAATCAACCCAGCAAACAAAGGTTGCAGGGACACAAGAGAGGTGAAGGGCATGCCGTTCAGAGTGACTAAACCAGTACACTCACCTCCTCCCAATCTTAATTTGTAATCACTATTGACTAGGATGCCACAGGTGGCCAAGGAATGCCTTAGCTGAGGAGTACTTTAATAGGGAAAGCAAGGGACACCTTCTCTCCCTTTGATGTTTTTTCAGAAAAAGATGGGAAGATTGGCTCAGCTCCCATCACCCCTTTAGAATTTATCCTCAAAAACTGGGAGTCTTCTGACCCTCAGAGACCCTAATAAAACACTGACTGATCTTTTGTACCCATGCCTGGACTTCATACTCCCTAGGAGACAAGTTAAGAGGGTGTAAGTTTCAAATCCCAAACTAGAAAAATACTCTCTCAGGACAAAGCTCTCAGCCTGCAGAACAGAGCACATTTCTACCTTAATGATAAAGGACCCATCCTGGGACTCCTTGGTCTTCTCCACTGTAATGCCTCTTTCCAATTGTATAGCACTGTGATAAAAAAGACAGTGGGCCTTACTGGTAGCCAGAAAAAAAACAGAGTGAAGGGTACTATGAGTACCTCAACTTCTCTCACTCTGTTTGGTGGCCAAAGACCACAACTATTCAAGAATATGGACAGTATCCATGTTAGAGCAAAATGACACCAATAATCACCTGGGATTGTCTCTCCCGATGTTTGGGCCTTGTTCTTAATAAGACAGAACATTACCTTGTCTTTCGATTTTCTCCTTTCACTGCCATCAACCACAACACCACATGTCAAAGCCCTCCCAATCACACCATTAAAGAAACCCCTCTGTGCATAGATGGCTGGTTTTCTGGAACCAGACCTTCCTCCATAGGCCCCTGGTCACCCTAGAACTTTCTCACTGGCATAGGCTTGCAGTCTACCTTTAAGTTTGCCTGGTTACAGGACAATCTCTGTGCATCCCCACCCTGGTTTCATTCACAGGAACTGGCCTCTATTTCCTCTGCAGGAAACCCTTATATTCTGCCCTTCTTGTGGACGGGAAGAAGTACTGTTGCAATGCCCTCACTGATACCCTATGCTTTAACCGATCCACCTTCCCAAAGTGTGGATCCATCTCTAATCTGGGCTCCCTCCTTGAACAACCAAGAGACTAGAACCAGTCCAGGCTCAGGAAATCCCTTAAGGGTTTAAATCTCCCTCCTTAAATCACTACATGGGTAGAGTATATAGGACCCTTATAGGACCTTTCATATCAGTATTAATACGTCATACTCCTTTGCATTTTTGGACCTTGTTCATTCAATTTTCTTATTTGTTTCCTCTCACCTAAAGTCTAGGAAGCTTCAGATGGTCAGGCAGAGGTAATCCTCTAGGCAGATCCCACTTGACTTCTATCATAGGCCATTAAAGGACTTCTATCAAGTCCTCTGGAGCACAGCCCTGACTCCCAACCCTTTCTCATTGCCCCTGTGCAGCACAAAACAGCCAAAGTTTTGTCCTTTTTTCCCTAACAACAGTTAGGGTCACCTCTTCAAAGGGGGGAATATAACAGGAATCAGTGAGACAGGAGTTAGGATTCTACTAGGCAGTAAGGACAGCGGCTCCAAGAGTCTGTTGAGTCATGACCCTTCTGGGATTATACAAATATATATATCAAGTGTTCTTTGGCTGTTGGAACCTCCCCAGAGCATGGCCAGGCAGGCAACTGGCTCAATGGCTCATGGACACCGCATAAATTAGACCCCACAAAATATATAATCTCTAGGGTGGAGATTATATTGCTTCACAATGGCTTGAACTTTCTTTTAAATCCCTTAAAAACTCCTAGACAAAGAGACTTTGTGGATACCCTGCTTAAGACTTCCTTGCTTTTATATCTTTTGAATAAATTTGCCTACACCTATGTCCTCTGTCCATAGTCTCATTCTTTGTCACCATGGGATATGACTCCGGCATCCCAGTAACAGTTCCAAGATACTCCACTTTCTCCCTGCAGGCTCCCACATGCCATCTGTCTCCAGGGCTAGTGGTAGGACAGGTGGCCTTGCATAGCCTGTATGGAAAAAGAGAACAGGCCAGGTCCTGATGACCCCAGACTCCAACCTCATACGCTGCTTGTCCCCACTGTCCAGCAGCCCTGGCATCTTCCCATGTGCAGGAAAACCCCTCAGAGGGTGCCAGACCTGATAGAACCATGGCCCTCAGCCACTGTGTGGGGGCCACAGGCCCAGTGAATTCTAATGTCCCTCCCAAAGAGTATGCACCTTCTTTGCAGGGGGTTTGTGGAGACATGGAAAGATTCCTGGGAACATGGGAGCCCACAGAGAGGACAAAGTGTGCGGGGGAGGTTGCACCTGGCCTGTGTCCACTCTACATCCCTAGGGAGGCTCAGGAACAGCTTCACACATGGTCTCCTGACCTCCATGGCCCCCACCATCTCCACTGCCCCCCAGCAAGGACATGGCATGACCAGAGGCAGAAGGGACCACACAGAGTTGCTAGCCTACATGCATACAGCCTTGCTGGCCCTCGCTGGTCAGCCAGCCACTCTGCCTGGCAGTTCTAGGCCACCTGATTCATCAGTGGAGGGGTTGGCAGAGGAACTACAACAGGCCTCATTTCTCACACACAAAATGGCTGTCACCCTCACCCCACAAAGCTGAAAAAAGAGAAGCAATGGCGTTGTCTGGGCAGCATGACCTTGAGGGGCAAAAAGGGCAACCTGCAAGCCACATGCAGCAGCATCATGCTAGTTGGATCCAGGAGGCCAAGGACAGGACTTGTCCCCTGTGAAGCACAAGTGTGTCCCCTGCACAGGGTCCTCATCTGAGACTCTGCTGTGGCTCAGCCAACTTCCCAAGAACAGACAGTAGGGGACTTCCAGGGCTGTGGGGCCTGGGGGTTCCCACCCCACTTTTAGCTGAGGGCACTGAGGCAGAGCTCCCTGCCCAGGCATCACCTGGGCATAAAAATAACAACAATCGTAACTAAAATCATGTCGCCTGGAGCCATCACAGGCCCACAGAGATGGCTGCAGATGCGGACAGCTGTCCTAGCCTCAGGAAGCCAGCAGAGAACCTCAGGTATCCCAGCCAGGGAGCTCCACACCAGACATGGGGATGTGGGGATGGGGACTGGTGAGACGGTGACCTGTGTTGCCACCCAGAATAAACCGAGCACTGGGTCATTACATGGCAATCACAGTCCTTGCCTGGTGAAGGTAAATAGGAGTAGGCTTTTGCCAATCTGGAGAATTGGGCCTGTGAATCTCAGCTGCTCAGGGTTGGGCCAGCCAAGACTCAAGAGAGCAAAGTGGTAGGAAGCTGAGCCGCTCCAGGGGCCAGGAGAAGGATGTCACCAAGATACTGAATGGTAGCAGGGAATTGTCCTGTGCTGAATGGTACAGAAGTAGGACAGAGCCCAAAGAAGGGAAGACCTAGCAGGACTGAGCTAGGCTAAAAGGACAGAGCTAAACCAAGAGCATTTAGAAGGGTTGAACTGTGGTGGACCAGGCTAAGCTGGCTGTGCTGGACTGTGCTGGGCTGATCTGTGTTATGCTGGGCTATGCTGGGCTGAGCTGAGTTGGACTGGGCTGAGCTGGGCTGAGCTGGGCTGAGCTGGGCTAAGCTGAGCTGGGCTGAGCTGGGCTGAGCTGGGCTGGGCTGGGCTGGGCTGGGCTGGGCTGAGCTGGGCTGGGATAAACTGAGCTAGCTGGACTGAGCTGGGCTGAGCTGAGCTGGGCTGAGCTGAGCTGGGCTGAGCTGACCTGGGCTGGGCTGAGCTGGGCTGAGCTGACCTAGGCTGGGATGAACTGGGCTGAGCTGGGTTGAGCTGACCTGGGTTGGGCTGGGCTAAGCTGACCTGGACTGGTTTGAGCTGACTGAGTTGGGCTGACCTGACCTGGACTGAGCTGGGCTGAGCTGGGTGGGCTGGGATGGGCTACACTGGGCTATACTGGGCTGAGATGGTCTGAACTGACTGAGCTGGGCCAAAGTGGGCTGAGCTGAGCTGAGCTGGGATGGGATGGGATGGGATGGGATGGAATGGGATGGGATGGGATGGGATGGGATGGGATGGGATGGGATGGGATGGGATGGGATGGGATGGGATAGGATGGGCTAAACTGAGCGGGGCTAGGTTGAACTGGCTGAGCTGGGCTGAGCTAGGTGGGCTGGGCTGGGATATACTGGGTGATGTTGGGCTACACTGGGCTGAACTGGGCTGAGCTGGGAGGAGCTGAGCTGGGCTAAATTCAGGTGGGCTAGGCTGAGTTGGGCTAAACTAGGCTGAGCTGGGCTAGGCTGGGCTGGGCTGGGCTGGGCTAGGCTGATCTAAGCTAAGCCAGTGTTGGCTGAGCTGGGCTGAGCTGACCTGGGCTCAGATAAGCTGGGCTGAATTGGGCTAAGCTAGGTTGGCCTGGCCTGGACTAAGCTAGGCTGAGCTGGGCTGGGCTGGGCTGGGCTGGGCTGGGCTGACCTGAGCTCAGATGACCGGGGCTCAGTTGAGCTGGGCTTAATTGGGCTAAGTTAGGCTGGCCTGGCCTGGGCTGAGCTGAGTTAGGCTAAACTGGCCTGAGCTAGCTGGGCTGAGCTGGGCTGGGCTGAGCTGGGTTGAGCTGGGGTAGGCTGGGCTGGGATGAGCTGACCTGGGCACAGACCTGAGCTTAGCTGAGCTGGGCTGAATTGGGCTAAGCTAGACTGGTCTGAGCTGAGCTGAGCTGGGCTGAATTAGGCTGAATTAGGCTGATGAACTGGGCTGAGTTGAGCTGAGTTGGGCTGGCATAGGCTGAGCTGGGCTGGCCTGGGCTAGGCTGAACTAAGCTGGGTTGGGTTAAACTGAGCTGGGCTGAATTAGGCTGAGCTGGCCTGAGCTGGCTGGGCTGAGCTGGGCTGAGCTGGGCTGAGCTGGGCTGAGCTGGGCTGAGCTGAGTTAGGCAAAATTAGGCTGAGCTGGGATGATTTAGGCTGAGCTGGGCTGAGCTGACCTAGGCTGGGATGAACTGGGCTGAGCTGGGCTGACCTGACCTAGACTGAACTGGGCTGGCCTGGGCTGAGCTGGGCTGAGCTGAGCTGGGCAAAGTTAGGCTGGGCTGGGATGATTTAGGCTGAGCTGGGCTGAGCTGGGCTGAGCTGACTTAGGCTGGGATGAACTGGGCTGAGCTGGGCTGAGCTGACCTGGACTGAGCTGCGCTGGGCTGGACTGAGCTGGGCTGGGCTGGGCTGGGCTGGGCTGGGCTGAGCTGGGCTGAGCTAGGCTGAGCTGGGCTGAGCTAGGCTGAGCTGACCTAGGCTGGGATGAACTGGGCTGAGTTGGGCTGACCTGACCTGGGCTGAGCTGAGCTGGCCTGGGCTGAACTAGGCTGAGCTGAGATGATCTGGGCTGAGCTGACCTGGGCTGAATTGCCCTAAGCTAGGCTGGCCTGGGCTGAGCTGGGCTGAGCTGAGCTGACCTGGGCTGAGCTGAGATGACCTGGGCTGAGCTGAGCTGGACTGGGCTGAGCTGCACTTCTTAGCTCACCTGGCTAAGCTGGGCTGCATCGATCCTGGCAGATAGAGAAGTCTCCTACATTGCCCTACGTGTTTGCTCTGTAGTGATTTGCTGTCCTTCCGCCTGTGAGTCTGGATTCTGCTCACTCCCCTGGGTGAGTGAACCAAGAGAGTATCATGGTGGGGTTAGGTTCTGTGTTTGGGGACAGCAGTTAATGAGACTGAGCCGAGGCTCTCTGGGCTCCGGGGCTGACAGAGATGGGAATACAGTTGCCAACAGAACTACCCAGACAGCAGAACCAGGTGATCTCTGTTATCTTGTCCCCATCCACATGGTGTCAAAGCCAACGCTTGCTGCCTCCCACTGTGGCCATCAGTAGTGGGGTAGCCCAATGGAGGCCTATCTGGTCAGACAAAGGCTAGGCTGTGGGGAAACCAGGGCAGGACACACAGATGTCTGCACATACAGCCCAACAGCCTCACAGAGCAGGAGTCCAAGGCAGGGGTGGTATACCTGCCTATTGTGACCCCCACAACAAATTTGGAGGAAGGAGATCAGGGTCTAAGGGTCCTGAGAGAGCTCTGCGTCTGCATCCCCAGTCCAATAGATCTACAGATGAGAATGGAAGGAAATATACCACAACTCCTGGGTCTCTAGTATCCACCCTGTGGGGTCCAGTGTGAGGTGGGGTCAGCCTGGCATCCCTGTGTCTCCAGTTCCCAGCCCCATGGGGTGTCCGGTGGGGACAGATCCTCCTGGGGTCTCTGGATCTCCGGTCCTTGCCCGATGGGGCCAGATGGGCCTCTGGGTCCCCAGCCCCTATGAGATCTTTGGGCCCGGATCTTTCAGCCTAAGGGATGGCCTGATGCTTCTCTTCCCCAAGATGCCCTGTTCCAGCCCTCAGGGTTGAGGTCAGGCTCCCTGCTGGACACCCCTGTGCCCAAGCTCAGCCTGAGCACCATGATCATCAGCCCAAGGGTACACAGGGACATCTGATGGTGTCTGGGGCCTGGGACTCACAGGGAAAAAAGAGAAGCCAGAAGACTAGAACAGGGACAAGACCAGAGCTGCCCAGACTGGGGTGGAGCAGCATCCTCAGCAGATGCCCCACCCACCCCAGGCCTGGGCCCACCTGACCATGCCCTGTCCCACAGCCTCTGTCCAGAAACCCACCATCTACCCTTTGAGGTCCTGCTGTGACGAGCCCAAGGCAGTGGGCTGCCTGGTCAAAGGCTACTTCCCGGAACCGGTGACCGTGACTTGGGACACAAACTCGCAGAATGTGACCGTCTTTGAATTCCCCACCGTCAACTTCAACTCCAGCTTCCTGGTCACCACCAGCCAGGTGCTAGTCTCAGGATCCAGCCTCAAGCAGTTCACCTGCAGGGTGACCCACACCCCGACTTTATTCAACGAAACAAAGCTAATCAATGGTGAGCAGGCAACCGGCCAGAACAGGGTGCTCCCAGGCCACACCAATCGGGGAAGGAGGGTGGGGCCTTGGGCGGGCCTGGGGGCAGGAGTATGATGGATAGTCCCACTGGCCACCTCTCCCTTAGTTTGCTCCTCCAGTGTTAGCCGGCTCACTGTGAAGCTCCTCCACTCCTCCTGCAACCAGAACAAGTTCCAGCCCACCATCCAGCTCCACTGCCTCATTTCCCACTACACCCCAGGTGACCTTGAAGTCACTTGGCTGAGGGATGGGCAGCAGATTGGCAACAAGTTCACAGAGAGCAATGCACTCAAGCAGGATGGCAGGCTGGCCTCCACTCAAAGAGACCTCAACATCACCCAGAGTGACTGGGCATCTGAGAGCACTTTCACCTGCCAGGTCTCCTCCCAAGGCCAGACCGTCAAGGCCCACACCCGGAAGTGCACAGGTGCAGTCCCACTCACCCTGTTGCCTAGATATGAGGGAGGGATGGTTGGAGGGGCTAGCAGGGTCTCACACAACTTCTCCCCCACCACAGATGAGGATGAGCCACGAGGTGTGCGTGCCTACCTGATCCCACCCAGCCCTGTGGACCTGTACATTGGCCCCAAGCCCAAGCTCACCTGCCTGGTGGTGGACCTGGAGAACAAAAAAGGAGTCACTGTGACGTGGACCCGGGAGAGTGGGCGGCCTGTGAAACCTGATGACTGGACCGCCAAGACACACGAGAACACCACGGTCAGCATCAAGTCTACCCTGCCCGTGCTTGCCCAGGACTGGATTGAAGGCGAGAGGTACACGTGCAGTGTGAACCACCCTGATCTGCCCAAGCCGATCGTGCGGTACATCAGCAAGGCTACCGGTGAGCCATAGGCTGGAGGTAGTGGGCAGGCCTCCCTTGGGGTCAGAGAAGGCACAGCCTGGCTCACCCTCACCTCTCCACAGGCACACGCGTAAGTCCCAAAGTGTACGTGTTCCAGCTGCCAGAGAAGGGTCTGGAGAGCCAGGACATGTTCTTCCTCACCTGTCTGGCTCAGAACTTCTTCCCCAAGGACATCTCGGTTCTGTGGCTTCGCAACGGAAAGGATGTGACCAAAAACCAGTACAGCACGACACCCCCCACCAAGATCAACAGCTCCCCTCCCTCCTTCTTCATCGTCAGCCGCCTGCAGGTCACCCAGGATGACTGGACACGGGGCCACCAATTCACCTGCCGTGTGGTCCATGAGGCACTACCCTACCCTAGGTTCACAGACGAAACTGTGTCCAAGAGTTCCGGTAAATGAAGACTTCCTGACTCCCCATGCTCCATCCATCAAGCAGACCTCTGTCCCCCGCTGTAACAACACTAGGAAGCCACCCAATAAACACCTGGTGCCCGCTTCAAGCCCTGGGAACCCATTCTTGGGGGAGGTAGGGCTGTGGAATGGGGTATCCTGCACAGAGGAAGGGACCCCCCACCAAAGAAGAAGGGGGCAGAAGTGAGATGTGGCTTCATCAATCTGCCTGTCTGTCAAACAGCAGGCAATGGGGCCCAGAACAGTTCCCCACCGTCTTGGTCACCCTACTGCAGCTCTCACCCCTCCAAAGCATTCAGAGAACCAGAAGGGGAAGGCATAGGGCAAGCAAGCCAAGGAGGCCCCGCCCCTCCCCGGACAAATCCTGAACCCCAGGTGTCCCATCCAGAAGAGTCAGAGCCCTACCGAGGCCCAGTGCATAGGCTCCTTGGCTAGACCTAGAGGCTGGAGAATCAGAGCCCCATGCAAATGCAGACACCCTGGACCCAGATGCCCTCCATACACAAGGCCAGGGCCAAACCCATCACTCCAGCCCTGACCACCTACTCCATTATGGACCATGCTAGCCTTTGGTCAGCACTCAGTGCCCCCAGGTTGCTGCCCAACCCTACTCCAACCTCTGTGTCTGCCCCAAAGGGGTGCCAGCCTCACAACCCACGCAGAGTTGGGCACATTGAAGCCTTGTAGTTACACTGAGCCATATGGCCACCGCAACATACCATGCACTGACAAAACACACACTCTCTGGTTTCCCATGGGGTGACAGACCTCACACACTCATGTGTGGCCAGAACTGATTTGAGACAGGCATGAAGGCCTTCAGCCCCAGCCAGGAACCAAGTGTCCCCCACAAGGACTCCTCCCGTGGTTCCTCAAGCCTCCCCAGCCCACTGTCAGCTGCTCCCCAAGGATGACAGACACAGACACACAGGGACATGGATACACACACACACACATGCACGCGTGCACACACACACACACTCATATAGGGCTTGCTCTTGGGTCCTCCTGCTCCCACACAGCCCTGGAGGATAAGAGTTGGAACCAGGTCTCACCTACCTAGGCTCCCACAGCACATACACCTGCCTCACAGACCCTGATCGAGGCTCATCACCCATGCTCAATGGGCACACACTGAGCACACAGGCACCTAGCACTCCCACGCAGAGCTGGGTCTCCAGAACAAAGGAATACATGGATCTCTGAGTCAAAGAGGCTGCTAGTGCCTTCACTCATTCCTAGAGCAGCAGGCCCATCCATCCAGCACCCTGGTCTGTCCCCAGCCCCAGGCCAAAGAGACAGAGATGAGCCAGCATGCAGACAGCTAGAGGCCATGGGCAGCACGGGAAGGTGGCAAGGGCAGAGGGCCAAGTCCCCAGAGACCATCTTGAATCCTGCAGGCCTAGCCTCAGGGTCCATGAAGCCAAGGCAACCCCAGAGACCCATCACCCAGCTCCCAAGCCAGGCTGCAGCACTCAGAGACCATCCTGAGACCCAGATTCTGTGGGCCCGCAGGATCAAGGGGAGTCATCCACCACCAGGGTAGAGAGAGAGAAACAGGCCAGGCCACCATGGGGCCCAGGGTGAAGTCAAGGAACAGAGGTCTACGCAGGAGAGGAAAGAGGCCTCTGGCTATCTTGGGAGCTTTCGACCCCAGACTCTGGGGCTGGCCAGGGAGCTTATGCCCTAGGCCTCAGTAGGGCAGCCTGAGACCAGCAGGGTCTGCCACCACCCAGTCACCCAGACACTGGGAGGGCTGATTGGGCACTCTCTCTAGAGCTGGACCTCCAGGACCTGTGCACAGACGAGACAGAGAGCCAGGAGCTGGAGGGGCTATGGACCAGCACCTACACTTTCATCTCCCTCTTCCTGCTCAGCGTGAGCTATAGTGCCACTGTCACTGTTCTCAAGGTACGTGGGTTCTGGGTAAGCTGGGGTCCAGGGCAGGGCTGAGCAGCGTCCTCATGCACACCTTCCCCCAGGTGAAGTGGGTCTTCACTGCCATGGTGCAGAGAACACCCCAGACATTCCATGACTACACCAATGTCCTGCAGCCAAGAGCCTAGGATGGTCGCAGTACCTACGCATGCGCCAGGGTCCAGAAGGTTCCAGCTCAGCTCGAGGGTCAGGCTCCAGGGGCTATCACTCACACTCACCCCCTCTGAGAAAGCCCTGTCCCTCGAGGAGAGTGGGCATCACCAGATCCATGGGCACTGAGGCAATTCCCTGAAGATGTGGACTGAACAACCACAAAAACACGTGAGTGCCTGAAGCACATGGCCTAGCCACCACCACTACCCAGAGTCCAGCCAGCCAACAAGCAGTGCCTGATTCCAGACACAGTGTGGCCTCTTCTGCCCTAAATACCCCAGCCTGAGGACACAGACACCTCCTCCAAGGGTGAGGCTGCAGGACTGCTCAGATCCTAGGCTGGTGGGGCGTCTGTAGCAATGGAGAAGGAGCCTCAAGTGGAGACAAAGCCTCACTGACCTCCATGTGGCCCAGCCATCCTGTTCCCATCTCTGTTTCTTAATAAACTTCCTGTCTACAGCTGAGTCCTGAGTGTGCTTTGGGGAGAGATTTTTGGCATGTGTATTGGAGTGGGGGGAGGCAGCACCCTGATGGTGTGGACTAGAGCTGCTGCTCCCTGCAACAGCCTCTTCCGGACCCAGAATCTCCCTGCCAGCCAGGCTGAAGTCTCGATGACTGAGCACTGACACACACATGAGCAAGAGCTGCCTGGAGCTGGCCACCACCACCCTGGGGGAATCCTGGTGGTCTGGGGACGGTTCGGCAAAGGAGCCACCAGCCAAGGAGGACTGTGGTGGGGCTGGGGCCAGGTCCCTGTGGGAAAGACCAGCCTACAGATCTCCAGGAAGCCAGCAAAAGTGAGGGAAAAGGGAGCCCATGAGCAATCAACAAAGGACAGAATGCCCCCCACACTAAAAGTGCTCAGGAACCAACGAAAAGAAAGAAAGGCGAGCAACAGGTCCTTTGTGCAGGCCAAAAACCCAGAAGCCAATAACTCGAAGGAAAGTTTCAGAGATTAGAAAAGTTACAGCAAGGAGGTAGGGTTGTCCTCCTGGGCTCTGGCTGAGGTGGGAAATAGTTAAGACCATTTTGGGGACCAGTAGTTTAAAAGTCCTTGATAACACTATATAGTGGTTCTCTCAGGAGATGGCATTGGTGCCCTAGATCCAGCACCACAGGAACTCTGACATGGAACAAGGACAGAAAGGAGAGTAGGTCCAGGCCACAGCCCGGCCACACCACAGGCCCAGCCTATCCCTTACATCATAGCCAAGCTCCGACACAGCCAGGAATCCTTGGCAAAGATGAGGTTCTAGGATCCCCTCCAGGGACCCAAGGATGGGTGACAAGACACTAAGCCAGAGACTCCAAACAGGTCTGGACAGAGAAGGGAGCTTCTTAGGCAAAGACCAAGGCCTCTTCTCAGCTTTCTTTACTCCCAGACACACACACTGGGAACTCAGTCACACTCACACTCACACACACAACCAGGCCTAAACCTATGCCACCATAGCCAAGGTCTCCAGAGGCCTCATCTACTCCTTCACAGCCTCCCCTTGCCTCCTGGATCAGACACCCCTGAGGGCAGAACCACAGTCTTCTTCCTCCAACCAGCACCCTAGGCCATGAGCCCCATTGATCCAGAGCATAGGCATCCAGTACTCCACCTGCTGAGCCCTGGATGCCAGGCACATCACCCAGGAAAGAGTTCCGTCTCCCCTGAGCCTGGGGAGGGTTTCATGGTCTCCTCCTTCAGAACCCAGGAAGATGACTCACATCCAGGCACCTGGGCTCCAGAACCTGCCCAAACACCACACCCTACCCTCCACAGACATCGTTCCAGGGCAAGAGGATGCCTTCCAAGTCCCCCACCTCACCCCCCCTCCTCTTTATTCTCAACTCTCCTGTTGACCCACCATGGTGGGCTGAGTGGCAGCCCCCAAAGGTGTCTGAAACCCTGAATGTGGCCTTATTTGGGAAAGGGTTCTGTGCAGATAAGAGCAACCTTGAGATGAGGCCAGTGGCAAATGTCTTTAGAAGAGACAGGAAACCATGAGAGAGAGGTAGAGGTGTCTGCAAACACCCCATACTGACATTGCAAGCTAGAAGAATCAAACCTTGACCGGTGGGGCCAGAGAAAGCTGTCTCAGTGACTCTGCTAAAACCAAGACCTCACATGAACCCACCAGTCCTAAATGAAAATAACTTCTAGGAAGACATCTCTCCTCCAGCTGCTTGTCCAGTCTGTGGCCAAGAATGATGGCTTCTACCCACTGTTTACTCCTCTGCTTTCACCCCAGACTGCACTTTGCTGTGGTGCATGCATCTGCAAAGCAAGGTGCTCCTGCTTGTCCTGCTATCTCTGTGCTTGACAACCAAAGCTCAAAGGAACAGTGGGCTTCAGGAGGAGTTTGGATCACAGATGCAGCCCTGTGATGGGAAGTGTCCTTGGAAAGGGAACCAGCAAACTCTCACCCTCCTTTTACCCTGTGACACCATCTAGGACCCAAGAAGTGGCTGTTGCATGAATGACCAAACCAGCGCCCTGATCGTATGCTTTTGGACTCCAAAACTGTGAGAGGTGAAGATTTATTGATGAAGCCACACAATCTGTGGCATGTTTGCTACATCAGCCAGAAATGAAAGATCTGCATCCACAGCATATCCTTAATGACTGCTGTAAGGGTCAGGGTTAATGAAATGCCTGAGGTCTCTCAAGCCAGGCTAAGGAACTTCCCAGACCCCAGCAGTCACCTTCCTGTTCCCTTCACCCCCTCCCCCACTCATACCCTTGTACACAGCCAGGGACCTTCAATTCACCCAATGCACTTCAGGACCTGCTATAGCCTCTGTGAGTGCCCCAGCCCCAGCCAGCACCCAGAAATTGCTGGTATCCTCACCCCAGTGTTCAGCCTATCAACAGAATGTTCCATTCCAACTGTTAGCAAGCTGACCTCTCCCTGCTGACCGTGCCCTGCCCAGCAAGGACCACCCAGTCTCTATGCCTTGCATTGGGTGAAGGAAGCTGATGTCCACAAGGCTCTGCTGCCCCTTGTTGCCCAGATAGGGGCAGCAGATGAAGAGAAGGGGACAAACGGTGCATAGGACCAGGCAAAGGATGGAAGGTGACCTGGGCGGCTGCTAAGGAGCCAGGGGTAGAGACCCACAGTAGGAAGCCTGGCAGGGAGTTGGCACAGGGCAGTCTGCATCTGCTCCTGCCCGGCAGCCTCTCTGGCTGGGGTGCACCCCAGGCCAGCCTTGCCCCAAGAATCCCTACCTGGTAGCCTTGGCCTCTCCTCCAACTCCTCCTCCTGGTTTGCCTTTCTCCCTCTCCACCTGTCTCGGGGTCTCTGAGCTCTTAACTGTATCTATCTCTACCTTCTTAACCAGCATCTCAGTGCCCATGTCAACCCTGGTGTCGGCCACATGAAGCCTTGATCCCATCAAGGCCCATGGAGCCCCACAGCCCAGGCCACACACACCTGTCCCCACCACAGCCAGACCACAGACCAGACATGACGTAGAGGCGAGTGGCTGGGTCATGGAGGTGGGGCAGGAAGTGGGCAAGTGACCATGTCTGGGCCAAACAGGCAACCCCTCCCACCTGCTTCCCCACATCCAGCTCAGCCCACGGCCAAAGCAGGACAGGGACCACTGAGGCCACAAGGTCATCACAGTCAGGCCTCTGGGGAAGCAGGCAACAGCCATGAGGAAGGTCTACAGCACAGGCCACCAGGCCTTGGGAGGCCTGGTCCCTCCAGTGGAGTTGCTCACCACATGAGCAGGTGGGTCCCAAGCCCTCTGGCCCAATGACCCCTCTGCACACTGAGAGGTCAGCAGGGCTGTGTCAGGCAGGACACTGCAGGGAGTTAGGGATAGAAAGCAGGTATGGATGGAGACTGAGTAGGAGGGCAGAGGGAGACCACAGAGGACACGGGCCAGGACAGGAGCAAAGCAGGAGCAAGCTGCTGGCTCAGCCCAGCAGGGCAGAGCAAACAGGATGAAACAGAGCTTCCTGAAGCAACAAGGAGCAGCACACGTAGCCCAGCTGGGCAGAGGGATGGGAGGACAGCAAGGGCAGCTCCCCTGCAGCCATGTGTGTGGGCTAGGGCACCGGGCCGAGCTGACTGGGGCTGAGCTGAGCTCAGATAGGCAGACGCACTTGACCTGAGCTGAGCTGGGCTGGGTGGAAAGGGCAAAGCTAAACTGAGCAGACCAGGACTGGGCTGGACTGGGCTGAACTGGGCTGAACAGGAGCAAGCTGGGCTGTTCTCCACTAGGCTGAGCATAATCAAAGCAGAGCTGAACTGGAATGGGCTAGTCTGGGCTGAGCAAGACCAACAGGACTGGGCTGAACTGGGCTGAACTGGGCTGAACTGGGCTAAGCAGGACCAAGCAGGGCTGAACAGGCTGAGCTGGACTGAGTAGGACCAAGCAGGGCTGAGCTGAAATGGACTAAATTGGGCTAAGCTGGACCAACAAGGCTAAGCTGAGTTGGGCTGAGCTGGACCAAAAAAGGTTGGGTTGGGCTGAGGAGAGCAGAGCTAAGCTAGGCTGCACAGGACTAGCAAGGCTGAGCAGGGCTGATTTGGGCTGAGCTGTGCTAGGCTAAGCAGAATCAACAGGGCCAAGCTAATCTGGGCTGAGTTGGACCAAGCAGGGCTGAGCTGGGCTGAGCTGGGCTGAGCTGGGCTGAGCAGGACCAAGCAGGATTAAACTGAAATACGGTGAACTGGGCTGAATAGGAACAGCAGGGTTAAGCTGGGCTGAGGAGAGCAGAGCTCAGTAGGGCTAATCTGGGCTGATCTGAGCTGAGCTGTGCTGAGCAGGACTAGCAGAGCTCAACTGGGCTGAAATGGGCTGAGCAGGACCAAGCAGGGCTGAGCTGGGCTTAAATGGGCTTAAATGGGCTGAGCAGGGCTGAACTGGGCTGAGCAGGACCAAGCAGGGCTGAGCAGGGCTGAGCTGGGCTGAGCTGAGCTGAGCTGGGCCAAGCAGGACCAAGCAGGGCTGAGCTGGGCTGAGCTGGGCTGA